TTATTCATTCATAAAACCATTCAATAATTTGTTATTTTGAAACTACACTCAAAAAAGTCTTTTGCTGCTTTTTCAAACAACACAATTATTACTTTTTTTGGGAGACAACTTAATTGTTTTCTGTTCAATCCACTTAATTTTGTAAAAAGGATTAAGTTAACTTAATCGATTTGTGTTGGTAAAACATGAAGGAATTCATGTTGCCGAACCCAACATTTTTTACAATGCTTAAATGTCGATGAATACCAGTTTTCAACATTCTTTTGTGTTCAAAAGAAGAAATGAAAAAACACTAGATGTTTGGAACCACTTGAGTGTAAATAAATAGAGAGTAATTATTTAATTTGGGGTGAACTATCCTTTAACATGGTGTCCACCTTCACTAATGTCTACAAGAGTTATATAAGAGTTAAATTATGATGGTTTAAATTCTGGTATGTCTCCTCAAAGAACCTTGCAGTATTTTGTGTTTGCGTTTGATTCGGTGTCTTAAAGTTGCTGGGAATGGATCAACGAGTGTTAGCATAACTGTTACTCCCTGAGCTCTTGATTCTGAGCACCATTATCCACGGAGGCTTCATCCTCATCCACTTACTCGGGTTGATCCGCCGTATGTGTCATCCCGTCAGAAAAAAGGTCTATGGCTTTCTGCTGGTCGCTGTGAGGTGCAGAGCAGAGTAATTGCGCAGGGAGACAGAAAGAGTTAGTGTGAAAAAATCTGTCAGGATGAATCAGAGCTTGCCCACACAAACAGGAAGACTGCATCCTACAGGCGGACATTTTTATACAGAAAAAAATACAGCGGAGAGTCTGTGTTATACAATATTTGTTTAAATGTGATGCATCACACTGAAGTAAATAATTCACAATAGGCCTTTTATCAAAAGCTTGATAAAAGATTTATTTAGTGGTGGAAAGTATGATGCAAGCGCCGCTGGTCATGTTTATTTGATAAAATACATTTTTCTTGTAGTTGAAGTCAGACTTATCTAATAAAGCATTATTAGATAATGATAATGTTGCATTATTATTGCTTAAACAAACCATTAAAATATTCCTATTTATCAAGGGTTTATTAAATTGATGAAAGACCTTTACGTTGTACAAAGTTCTGTTTTTAATGAATGCTAATGAAAGATGTTCTTTTGCATTTCCTCTCATCAAAGAATCCTGAGGTAATAGATAATGACCTCCATTAAAAATGGAAAAATATACATTTAAATTGTTATAAATTTTTACACTATTAATGTTTTACTGTTACTGTTTTACTCTAATAAGTAACAATTTACTAAAATAAAGAATCTTTAGATCAACATGTCTAAAGAATGATTTTTACATGGATATTTAGAGTCAGAGCTAAAAAATAATAATTGTTATAATAATAATTTTCAGCTAGGATACATAAAATTGATCAAAGAATTTCTACATTGACACATAAATTCTGTTTTAAATAAATGTAAGCCAGCTCAAGCACTTCCAGTGAACTGTCATGCATAATAAAATCGTAGCGTTTAAGTTCTGGTTTCTTTAGAAATCAATGATCTTCGCTGCCTGATTGATATATCAGCTTATGAAAGTATGATATGTGTATGATATACAAATGTGTGTTTTACCACGGACAAGAGAACTGCATTAAATTCCATTGTTCATTGCCATGTAAGTAGTCAGTAAGGTGTATAGCGCATTTATTGCATATAGCCATACACCCAAAGCACTTCACAGTCATGAGGGGGCCTCTCGACACCACCACCAGTGTGCAGCATTCACTTGGATGATGTGACGGCAGCCACAGGACAACAGCGCCAGTGCGCTCCTCACACACCAGCTATAGGGGGGTGGAGAGACAGTGATAGAGCCAATTCAGTGGTTGGGGATTAATGGGAGGTCATGATTGTAAGGGCCAATGCAGGGAATTTAGCCAGATCACCGGGGTTACACCTCTATTTTTTAATAGAGGTGCCATGGGAATTTTAATGACCACAGAGAGTTAGGTTCAATCTCGGTTTAATGTCTCATCCAAAATACGGCGCCCACTGACAGTATAGTGTCCTCTTCACTATACTGGGGCGTTAGGACTCACACAGACCGCAGGTTAAGCACCCCCTGCTGGCCTCACTAACACCACTTACAACAGCAACCTAGTTTTCCCATGTTGTCTCCCATTCAGGTATTGACCAGGCTCAGCCCAGCTTTGTGTTGCCTTTACTCATTATATTTTATTAAATTATTTTTGTTGACGCTGTGAAAGCAACCTTTTAAATTTGAAAATAGTCACATCAACCTTCCACCTGGAAACCTTCCAACAGAAGTAATGTTTCTTGAGCACTAAATGAGCAGATTGGACTGATTTCTGAAGCATCATGACACTGAAACCTATAGTAGTAAATAGTGATAGAAAAACATATCTGCTTTTCAATCAGGAACAAATTGCACATTAAAATGTATTTACATGTTATAATACTACGTTTTAGTCATTTTTATTTGTAAAATAATTACTATTGCAATATTGCTGCTCTTACTGTATTTTCAGCCATTTTGTGCACATAAAACAACTTTTTGTAGTTTTTAGAGTTTTGTATTTTTTAAAAATCTAATCTGATATTGTTTGAAGCATTATATATGGATGCATGGACGGTTGGTTGGTTTGGTTGGAAGGTTTTGTTTGGATGGTTAATTGGACAGACCCCAAACCTAACTAAAGAATGATTTTTCAAGGAGGACTTGATTATACTTAATAGTTAATTCACAAAATATCCGATTTACACCTCATCATTAGTGCATACCTTCTGATATGTTGAAAAGCACAAAGACTGACCTCGCAGCTTACAGGGTCACTTTGGATTGTAGTTGGTCTTTTTGGTTCCATTCTTTAGTGACAGTGATGGTTTTTTTAAATTCTGTCAACTTAATGGAATCTCCCAGTTGTTCCATGTATATTTTCACAGTGTTGGGTTTCATTCTCATCGCAAAGGAATGTGTGATCGGCTCTGAAATTGTCTAAGAGAAAGAGTGTTGAGAATGTGTGTGTGTGTGTGTGTGTGTGTGTGTGTGTGTGTGTGTGTGTGTGTGTGTGTGTGTGTGTGTGTGTGCCCCAGAAACCCCACAGAATCAACTCTGAAGCTTTCTAATCTCAGCCTAGGCAATGGCATCCTCTTCAAATGTCATGATAATAACATCACTTAATCATAGTTGCTTGCTGTCACTTAATTGCATAATCAAAAGAGGGACAGTCTAAGTGAAATATTGGCTAAAACTGAACGTCTTTATAAAGGAACGTCTTATTTTTTAACATATGCAAACTCTGTCTAGAATGTTCTATAGCAATTCTCAACTTTTCCATTTACAGTTATACGTAAGTCTATTAATAGTGTTTGCTAAGCATGTACATTTGAACAGTACTCAGTTGACTTAGTAATTGACTCAAAATCGCTGAGTATTATGTTTTGTTGCGTAAACTTCACTGTTTATGTTATCAGCCAAAATGATGCCTCAACTGACATCAAATTGCTTTAAATTTGATATTTTTAATGTTTTAATTTAATGCATTTTATCAGATGGAGAATTAATTATTTGCCGCGTGTAGGAATGAGAATGTCATTTAGGCATTAGGATGTGGGCTCTCTCCTTAGATCATATCTAGGAAGTTCCCTAGAACCCTTTAACTACCACATATATGGTATAAAAAATCAACAGAGAATGTTGACCATTTCTAGACCATTTCTTCCACATTTGAAAAAGAAATATCGCCATTTAGGTTGTGATTAAAATTATTTTCTTCAAAAATATGTACTTTTGTTTTGATTGTGAGTTTTCAATTAGTCTCAGATTTTTTTTCCCAACACATTTCCTATTATAAATTAGGATTCTGACTGGTTTGTTGGTCTGTTTGGACCAGATCTGAATACAATTGCCATGTTTACATTTACACAAAAAAAAAATTTTCTTACTTCCAGTTTTTGTCTTCTTTTAGTCCAAATATCAAAAACTTCTTAAATCAAGAAGCATTTTCTAGTTTTTCCGTAAAGCAAAACTTTTTCAAACTTCTAGGACACCTAATTCCCCCCCCCCCCAATTTGCCCAGTTTCACTCGTGCCCCCTCTCAACTTCAAAATAAATGGTAATGTTCATGAGTGAATGTGAAACTGCTGAACTGCAGTTAAAGTCATCCAAAAATACAGGAAACTCTTACATTAAAGCACTTCACATAAATACCTTCATTATATTATTGTCTATTAAGGCAAATAACTAGATTACAGATGTCCATGTAAACATAGTCAGTGTCTTCAAAATTAGTGAAAGATCTAGAAGGGCATCCTGCTGATTTGATGCAGAAGTGCACTTGTTTGTCAGATGCTCAACGGTTTGACTTTCATTCACCATCATTCATTTTAAAAAGCATCCGCTCCATTTTTTATGCGTATGTTTTACTCAAACGAATTAACTCTATATGTGCCTGATAGTTAGATGTGGAGCTAACATTAATCAGATTTACTCTAGTGAACATAAAAATCGGCATCATAATTTACTCAAGTGCAAGGCACGCCTCAATGTCTTGCGCCCCATTTAATTGGGGCCTGGTGGGGCGCGCCCCACAGTTTGAAAACCCCTGGTCTAAAGCAGGGGTGCCCAAACTCAGAGCTGGAGGGCCAGTGTCCAGCGTATTTTAGTTCCGACCCCAATGAAACACACCTGAATCAGCTTTTCAAGCTCCTAGGTATACTAAAACTTCCACGCAAGTGTGTTGAAGGAAGTTGGATGCTAAACAATGCAGGACACCGGCCCTCCAGGACCGAGTTTGGACACCCCTGGTCTAGAGCATGCTTCTTAAGCTGAACATTTTTAAACGTTTGGACTATAAACAAGAGAACTTTTAGTAAGTAAAGCATTTTTTTGCAGTGTACCTAAACAAACCGAACTACGGGACAAATGCAATGCACATGGTTCTAAAACAAATGCTTTAAATGAGCATTTAAGTCATTTTATTTCATTTTAAATTGCAGGAATCGACTACAAGACTACTACCATTCTCCTGGATGGACGCAGGGTTAAGCTTCAACTGTGGTGAGTCGCCTCCTACAGATACTGTACATGTTGATCATTTATGTTTGGCTTCATTTCTTTCTGTTATCATCTTCTTAAACTGCAACCAAGCATGAAGCAAGATTAAAGATCGCCCTCTTTAATCGCCAATAAAGTCCTGTTTTTTCTTCCTCAAAAAATTACACAAACATGCCAAACGTCTAGCTGTGTTAATTATAGCACTTCTCACTAAACTCCTCCACTGAAAAAATCAGCCAAGTCAGTCCCACTAGCCATATCTAGGAGTTGTTTAAATGTTTGGCTGTTTTTATTTATTTATCAAAGATGCAGTAGGAGATCTGAGAAAATGCTAACTTTAGCACTAGCATTGAAAACATACATCCTTTCCTGCCGTCCTAAAGTCATGAACACACACTAAATAGATGAACATAGACAACCTTATAACACTAGATCATGCCATTCAACAGTGAGAAAACTTTATAGTACTTTATAATAGCACAATTCCAAAACCATAAATTCATAAATGGTATTATATCTAGCATGTTTTCAGTTGTGAAGCAAGCGAAACTTGCCATATTGTGTAGTATTTTATGCATGCAAGAATTTCTACGACCATGTGCTTGACATATGACACCTCTATGGTTTTGGCTACCAATTGTAATTTTCCGCCCGAATATTTTGATTGGACGAACATTTCTTAGTCGTAAGCCTCACCCAGAATTTAATACATTTACTGTAGATCATTTACATTGTGTTACTATCAGAATGTGGAGAGACTTTGAACCAGCACAACAAAATGTTTTCTGAAGACCTTCAATACTAATATTTAATATTAGTGTAATATATGTATAATGTGCTTTTCTGAAGGAAGCAGAAATACATTAATTTAGCAGGAAGTGTTGATGGTACAATACAACAGAAACAGCTTAGAAATATGATAAATGCACTTGTTTAAAGGAACTCAAAATAAATAAGAATAAATAAATGCATTAAGAACAAAATAATCAATTCATTAATTAACATGGGACCATTTGGACTCCATATTTGGATTATTTGGAACCTAGTCTTTGCCCTATCATACAAAAAAAGAATATTGTAACTATAGCTGAAAAATAAGCAATGTTTTGATCTGTTTTATTATGTGTAGTCCTGTTTTAAATATAATCTGAACATTTATTTATTTATTTCTCTCTGTTTTCTTTTTACTTTTTTCTTCTTGTTTTGTGTTGGTATTATTGTGAAAATTCAATAAGCATACAGTTGAAATGTTTTTTCTTTTTTAAATATTTTCCAAATGATGTTTAACAGAGCAAGGAAATTTTCACAGTATGTCTGATATTTATTTTTCTTCTAGAGAAAGTCTTATTTATTTATTTATTTATTTATTTATTTATTTATTTATTTCAGCTAGAATAAAAGCAGTTACAAAAAAAAAAACATTCTAAGGTCAATATTATTAGCCCCTTTAAGTTATATATTTTTTCGATAGTCTACAGAACAAACCATATATATACAATTATTTGCCTAATTATTCTATCCTGCCTGATTAACCTAGTTAAGCCTTTAAATGTCACTTTAAGCTGTATAGGAGTGTCTTGAAAAATATCTAGTAAAATATTATTTACATTAAAAGCTAAAATAAATCAGTGATTAGAAATGAGTTATTAAAACTGTTATGTTTAGAAATGTGTTGAAAAAAACTTCTCTCCGTTAAACAGAAATTAGGGGAAAAATTAACAGAGGGGCTAATAATTCAAAACATAGTACCATTTATAAAAATTGCCACAAACCTGAATAAACTGATTAAAAAATAGTGGACAAAAAAAAAAAACAATTGTTACCAAGAGACTGATGAAGTCATACAGTAATACATATGAAAGGTTCTTCATATAGTTACTGATAAAAAGTGAATCTACAAACAAATGAATCACAAATATATCCTAACATTGTCACTAATTGGTTTTCCATTGTTTTCTGTAATATTTTTCTTATATAAATAAAAGAACAGCACACTATGTCATGTGGTGTTGTTGATGTTCATCTGAGGTTTTATTTTCCACATTTTAAGACCCTCTAAAGACCAGATAATTCAATTGGGTGTCCTGCATTCTTCACATGACTTTATTAATATTACTGAATAGTAGTCACAACATTGACCAGTTCACAACCTATGAAAAAACACATCAAATAATTCCTTAGATATCTCAGTTGAAATAGTTCTATAATGAAAACTTGTCATTGGAACAAAGGAGAACATCTGAAACTATTGAACAGAAAATAAGATATTTTGAGAAAAGCTGGAAACCTGTAACTGTTGACTTCCATGGTATTTGTTTTTTTGTTTTTACTAAGGAAGTCAAAAGTATTTTCTTTTGTGTTCAACAGATTAAAGAAAGAATTGGTAGACTAAATAAATACTATAGTGAGTTAATTTAAATTTTTGAATGAACTATCCCTTTAAGAGTGCTTAGCTTTTTGCAAGCATCTGGAATCAACAATTGATATTCCGGCCTTGACAGACGAAGTGTTTTAGAGGGTTTGTGATACTCGAGTCGTTACCCGCCTCAATATGACTGGCACATCTTGGTGCTGCGCTCAGGCCTGGATGGTGAATGATTCATTTCACTGCTCCTACTCAAAGTCTGCAGCCCTGGCACCAACCACAGAGAGCTCCTCATGTCACCAGGCAGAGAGAAGGACAATGGCTACAGACGCACTGAAGAACAGACACTAAATCAATGTCTTCTTTGTTGTTTTTGTTTTGTAAAGGGACACCTCAGGACAAGGCAGATTCTGTACCATATTCCGCTCCTATTCCAGAGGAGCACAGGTATGGTAAAAGTGATAAAAAGACTTTGGGGAAATATGAGTTTATCTGTTTTGTGTTTGTTCCAATTATAACGTTAAATATATACAACAACAACAATTGTTAAAATCCAAGCTTTAAATGAAAATTAATTGAAAAGGACATTAATAAAATGATCTATTATGGGTTATTTTGTAAATAATTAAAACAATACAAATTAATTTTTTTATTTCTAGTTATTTTGGGAAAAATGGCAATTGAAATTGTACACCAGTCACAATTTATTTAATCAACAAGTTTATAAGTGGCTGTTTTAAATGTAATTTAAATTAAAACAATTGCTTTTTTTTTTCTTTATATAATTCATTTAAATTGCATTCAAATGTAAATAATGCAAATAAAATTTAAATGCAATTTGTTTAAAATTATTACATTTTTATAAAAATATTTAACTTCATTTTATCATGTTCATAATAATATGATCATGTTTTCCAATGACTGTGATTAGCTGTTTTAAGTGTAAATAATTTGAATAAAAATAAAGAAATTAATTTAATTTACTCAGAAAAATACTTTAATTATTATAATCATTTATTCTAAAATGAAATAGTTCAAATGAAATGTTTTCAGTATTTTTTGTAATTATATTGTGTAAGTTTAAGTGATTTTGTAGGGTTACTTGATTTATTTAATTGTTTTTTGTAGGTTTAGGTGATGTTTGTAAGTGAATGTGATTTTTGTAAGTTAAAGTGATTTATTTAGGTGATTATTGTAAGTTAAAGTGATTTATTTAGGTGATTTTTGTAAGTTAAAGTGATTTATTTAGGTGATTTTTGTAATTTTACATGATTTTGTAGGTTTAAGTGATTTAATTAAGTGATTTGTGTAAGTTTAAGTGATTTTTGTAGGCTTAAGTGATTTATTTAAGTGATTTTTGTAGGTTTAAGTGATGCTGTTCAAATGCAAATCATTTCAAAAATAAAAAAATTGAAAATAAATATTCATTATTTAATTAAACATTACTCATTAAATAATAAGCTTTTTTCAAATTAAATCATTTAAAATATACTTGTAATTTTATATTCAGGTACTTTAACATACGTATTGCTTAATTTGAACCATTTGTGAAGCTGTGAGCATTTGTTTGCCCATTGCACATAATGTGCAAAGAGACTTTGGGAAACGGGCTTTTGAATATCTCTGAAATCCCAGACAGTAGTTAAACACCCCACCCAGAGATCAGCAGTTCCTGTTGAAAGTGTGCTATGCTATAAATTGGAGTGGACTGGTATTGTTGATATGACATTTCCTTGTTCTGGCAAACACAGATATCCTAATGACAGCAACTCCTGGAGCAAAGCCACATACTTTATTGACACTGCATCGTAAACATCTCTGCCAACACATTTACTCCCATACTGACTGAGATGATGAATAATACAACTCCCAGTACCACACTTTGAAAATTTTTTGCTATAGTCTGAAATTTTTAGGATAAATCTGTGTCTTATTTCATTCAAAACCTTTCATTCAAGTTTAATAATCTTTTTTTCACAGGGAGTCATCCTTGTTTATGACATCACAAACCGGTGGTCTTTCGACGGCATCGACAGATGGATTAAAGAGATTGATGAGGTAAAATCAGGTCAATCAGATCCAAAATGACTGTAATTACAGTAATCAGCATGGTAATTGTGCAGTGCTGTGTGATTATGGGTATAAACAAACATGACATCATACTAGTGGCTTTGCAATTACATTAAAAATCTGAATAAAACATAAGCTAATCAGCTTAAGAAGTTCCTAAGATAGATGTGTCTTCATACATAGTAAAAAGCTATTAGTTTGCTTTACTTAAAAAAAGCGAGTATACCCATTGCTTTTAAACAAATTATTTGACTTTACTTTAAAAAAATGTAGTAAAACCACTGACTTTAAAGCGATTAGTTGGCTTTACTTAAAGAAACTAAGTAAATCCACTGCCTTAAAATTATTGAGTAAATGAATTATGTGCACAATTTTAAAAAATTAAGTTACGTCAACTTAACCTTTTCAAGTTACAATAAACATACTTATTTTTTAAAGTAAGGTCAACTTGTTGCTTTTAAGGCAGCGTGTTTACTGTCTTTTTAAAGTAAGGTAACTAACCACTGAGTAGATCAGAATGTGCTGTTTTATGCAGCTAGTGATGATTATAAACATTAGGTTTTTTAAATGGCACTAACAGAGGCTTTGTAACTAATCTGTGTAAATTGCAGGGGGCTGAGGATGCACAAGGTGTTTCAAATGACTGTTTCGATATACACTACAGACCAAAAGTTTAGGATAAGGAAATTATTACTTTTAAATATAGTTACAAAAATATTCCTGTAAATTTAATTTAGATTTAAAGATGAATTTTTAGCAAGCATCATTGATCCAAAATCCAATGTCAGATGATCCGTCAGAAATATGATGATGTGCAGCTCAGGAATTATTATTATTATTATCATTATTATTATTATTATTATTATTATTATTATGTTTAAAACTAAAAACGTGTTTAAAACTGTTGGGCTGCATTATATTTTACTTTATACTGTAATACACTGACTGTTATTGGTGCCATTAAAATTGATTTATTTTTATTCATCAAGGACATAATAATCAAATTGTTCAAAAGGATAATTAAAAAATTAATTTTAAGATTAATAAATATTAAAATAGATCAGAGTTTCCACAAATCTATGAAGATGGAAAACATTAATAATGATGCCAATAATAAATGATAATGAAAGTACAACAAATCAAATTATTTAAACTATTTCTTAAGGTTTTTGAGGTAGACTTAACACTTAAATTAGCTTTAAATCAAATATGTATATACAAAATACAGCCACACTAATACAAATAAATAAATTAATTTAAAGAAATAGTAAGTAAAAATAAAAGTAAATAAAATAAAATAAAAAATAATAATGTGGTCATCAAAACAAATATGCACAATAAAATCACAGGTGTAAGTCAATTATCAATCTACAGTATAATGGGAAGGAAAGCAATATTTAGCTTTTTTAAAGGATCTAAAAGAGGACTCCATGTTTTGTAGAAGTAGCCAGCAGTTCCTTTCATTGTATGTCTGATTTTCTCAAAAATGAACAAATTTAATAAATACAATTCTAAACTATATTCAAAAGGAAAAGTTATTTTGAATTGTACAAATATTTCTTAATTTTTTATTTTTTATGAAGATAAATAATCTTACTAATGCCAAAGTTTTGACTGATAATGAAAATATAAAACAAATTATTCTAAAGATTGTTTAATAATCACTCATTTGCTCTTTTTTTTCTCAATACCCAGCATGCACCAGGTGTCCCCAAGATCCTGGTGGGCAACAGGCTTCATCTGGCCTATAAGCGTCAGGTGACCACCGAACATGCGCAGGCCTTTGCAGAGCGATTGGGCGTCACGTTTTTTGAGGTCAGCCCTCTCTGTAACTTCAACATCACCGAGTCCTTCACTGAACTGGCCCGCATTGTGCTCATGAGGCACGGCATGGAGCGACTCTGGAGACCCAATAAAGGTAACAAGCCTCATTTATCAGGCTTCAAACAAACTAAAGAGAGCATTTATTTTTTACATCAACAAGGCTTTGTTTCTACATTTTGACATGCACTCTCCGGCCACTACAAATAACAATATCTCTCTTAAATACAGTATATTCTACAAGTTTATTTTACACATTCATTCATTTTCCATTGGCTTAGTCCCTTATTTATTAGGGATCGTCATAGCAGAATAAACCAACCACTATTCCAGCATATGTTTTACACAGCGAATGCGCTTTCAGCCACAACCCAGTACTGGGAAACACTCCCAGATAGCATAAGAAGGTGGGCCACTTTAGGCAGTTATGCAGCACTTGTGGTCTTTCTTTGACCTAGACAAAATAAATGTGAGCTTGAAGTGGCCCACATGTACAATTTCAAAAGGGGGCCAAAGATTCAAGCTCATATTTGGGCCATTTAAGGCAAAAGTTTGGCACTTATGGCAAAATATAATCTGAATTTGAGTCAAATGTGGCCCTTGTGGAAAATGGTAAATTTGGCCCAAGTGAGAGAGGACAATTTGGGCAGCAGTTGGCAAAAATGTGGCATAGTCATTTAAGGGTACTCTGGGTCTAAACCCTAAGTGGCTCACATGTGTAGGTGCAAATGTGGCCCAGTTATGTTAAGACATATGTCGGCCACTTTTGGCAAATATTCGGCACAGTAAGCTCTGGCTAATGCTGCTGTGAGCCTAAAGTGGCCCAGAGAAGATATGGCAAATGTGGCCCAGTTATCCTATAACAAATGTGGGCCACTTTTGACAAATATTTGGCACAGTAAGCTCTGTCTAATGTGGTTTTGAACCTAAAGTGGCCTAGAGAAGATATGGCAAATGTGACATTATGAGAAGATATGGCAAATGTGACATTATGAGAAGATATGGCAAATGTGTTATTTTAAAACATGTGGGCCACTTTTTTTGCGAATATTCTGCATAGTAAGCTTTAGCTAATGTGGCTGTGAGCTTAAAGTGGCAAACAGGAGCAGACCTTTTTAAGTGCCATCATTCCATGTAGTCTGGATGTAAGTGCCATGTGTATTTTGCTAGCTGGGCCCATACATGCTCGTATTTATACACACACACACACACACACACACACACACACACACACACACACACACACACACATATATACACTACGATCTATTTTGTTTACTCAGTTCACTTATAGAGCATGTCACTTATAGCGCATTGGACTGTGGGGGAAACTGGAGCACCTGGGGAAACCCACACAAACAAAGGCAGAGCATGCAAACTCCCCACAGAAATGCCATCTGGCTCAGCAGGGACTCGAACCAACAACCCTCTTGCTGTGAGGCGACAGTGCTATCCACTGAGCCACAGTGCCACCCCTATTTACAAATTACACCCATTAAAAACGTTTTAAAGTGGATGATTCAGGAAACTATATTTTTTATATTCGTTGATGCGTTATATAATAAATCAGGAAGTAAAATGACTTAAATAGATCATTCTCTTTCATAATATCCGATTGAATATGAGTTGAGAAATCACATGTTGGGCGGATGTGTGAAATATATAGTGACTGATTTATATGCATGTGGGTGCATACAGACATACCACATATAGCTCTTTAAAAAATACAATGTTTAATGTTATGATTTCTCTAGATTTGCTATTAATGTGTGTATATTAATAGTAATGTTTTATTTTATAAACTATGAACGCATCTTCAGATTTCAATTAAGAACATTTTTGCAGAAAATCAAAACAGGTTAATGTACAGTATATACCTTAAATCAGGGGTTTCAAACGTTACACTTTTTTGTTTTGCTTAAATGTTTACTCCGCCATCCTATGAACTGTTAGTCACTGATATGGCCCCTGCCAATTTATGTTTGAGAACCCTGCCTTAGATGTTGGGGAAAGGGAAATAACCATGAAACAAATAAAACTATTTGTTATTCTAGCCAGTTGGAATTTTCTGGGGAAAAAATGCAAATCTTTATATTTGAAATTTGGTTGCAATTATATCAGACCTTAATATAATATATATATTAAATATTATAATTTTACTCAAACCAATAACTTATCAGTCCACCAAACCAAGAAAAGTGAAAAAAATCAATTAAAAATTAATTAATTCTTTTTTTTTCGGCTTAGTCCCTTTATTAATCTGGGGTCACCACAGAGGAATGAACCACCAACTTATCTAGCATATGTTTTATGCAGCGGAAGCCCTTCCTGCTGCAACCCATCACTGGGAAACACCTATACACACTCTTTCACACAAAAACACAACAGGCAATTTTGCTTATTCAATTCACCTATAGCGCATGTCTTTGGAGTGTTTTGAAAACTGAAGCACCCGGAGGAAACCCACATGAACACAGAGAGAACATGCAAACTCCATACAGAAATGCCAACTGACCCAGCCGTTGCTAGAACCAGCGACCTTCTTGCTGTGAGGCGATTGTGCTACCAACTGTGCAGCCCCTATATTATATTATATTATATTATTTATTAATTCATTTTCTTTTTGGCTTAGTCCCTTTAATAATCTGATGTCGCCAGTTCAAGTCCTGGCTGGGCCAGCTGGCATTTCTGTGTGGAGTTTGCATCTTCTCCCCGTGTTCGAGTGGGTTTCCTCTGGGTGCTCCGGTTTCCCCCACTATCCAAAGACATGCATTATAGTTGAATTAGAAGCACTATAGGTGAACTGGATGAGCAAATAATTTACAGTCATATGAATATAAGTAATATAATTATATTTTAAGACATTATATAGAGAATAAAACAGAGAGAATAACACATAAATAAAAGTGAAAAAAGAGAGCTAAATCTGCAGTCCTCACTGTTTTTCAACAATACCATCATTGTCTTGTTTCTCCACTCTTCCATCAACATCTCTTTCTGACTCATTTTATTTCTAATGTTGGAAATGTTCTCTCAGGGAATTAAACAGGCTTCATCATAAATGTTTCTGACATGAGATGATGCATTAAAGAAGACTGTCATAGATTAATGCGAGCATCTATAGGAACAGCCTTTTCTGAGAATGACCACATAAGCAACAGCCATACATGTTGTTCTCTCTTGGACAAATGCTGCAAATATATAAAGGTTAAAGGAACGCTTGAGAAACCTGAAAAATGATGTGCTTTGAGACTTTATATACAGCTCAGATCAGAGACACCCAGTGTTCAAATATCAGTGTAATGGCTTGCCGCCTCCACAGCACATCTCAGCTCTTAATAATCATAGCTTTGGCTCATGCTAGAAAAATGGATTGTAGGAACAAGGTCAAGTGGTATAAAAACATTTACGGAATAAAAGCATCAGATGTTTATTTAGACTAGAGATTATTTAAAGGTCAAGGAATATGACAAAACAACTTTGTGCTTCCATTAGATGACTTCATCCTCGAAAGACAAACATTTTCTAAAGGGGTAGTTCACACGAAAATGAACATTTGCTCTTATTTTACTCATGCTCAAGCCAATCCAAGATGGAAGGGATGTTTTCTTTAAAGCTGACCACTCAAGAAGATTTTAGACTAAAACTGTGGTTTTGTAATGTACAACAACAGTTACAGACACTTTGAGAATCAAGCAAAATATTAGGATATACATAGGCAAAACTAAATTAATGTCCATGGCCAACTATTGTTTTTTTTGTTTTGTTTTTTTACACATAAATGCTCTAAAAGATTGTATTCATATTGAAGATTTTAAGGTAACATTATCAGCAAACAAACAGACATTTAACTCACGAGTCACAACACATTAATATTCATAGCAAATCCGGAGAACAAATAGTAACTTATTATATTATGTTATATTATATTATATTATATTATATTATATTATATTATATTATAATACATTGTTATATTTTTTAAATTGTGATTTTTTTATTCTAATTTATTATATTATATTATTATATATTGGTTTTTATCTTAATGAAAAATAGCATATTTGTGAAAATACATATTACATATCGCATCAACTAAATTAATCATATAAATTAAAATATAAAATTGTAGTTATGTATTTAATGTATCACATGTCGGTGTAAGCACTAATAGTATCTCACTTGGTGTAATAGGGCCTTAAATTTTCTGTTTTGTGGCTAAGCTTTCAAATCGGTGTGTATGTCAATGAATTTTGAGTTTTAGTATTTTATTTTTAAAAAGAAAATCTGTTTCTTGCACCATATATTTTACCATGACTATGAACTGAGGGTGTTTTGATGGTGCTTAATATGTTGCTTTTACCTTAAATTACCTTAAGTTTCATGCAATACTAATGTTTCAGATTTAAGCTGCAAGCAAGCAGAATTTTCTAACATGCTACCATATCAGGTTTTCAATAAACATCTTTGATAAAATCAAGACATTGGTTTCTTTTGTTAAGCATATGTCCACTAGAGAGCAGTGTTTGTTTTCTTTTAGGGGGTCTTTTGGTGAAATAAAAATAACAGCATTATTAATAAATCAGCTAAATTCAACCAGTGAGTGCATTAACTGTCATCTAAATTGTCATTTTAGTGTGGGTCTACTTTATAGGCGGTTGAATAAAATGTAGCCATTTAAAAAAAAAAACACATAATGCCTGTTAAACTTCCCGAGCTTAATAATGCCGTCACTTGGTCGTTACAGAAATGTAAATGAAATTCTCAGTTTTAGCAGTATTGAAAACACATCTATATTATAAATATATATATATATATATATATATATATATATATATATATATATATATATATATATATATTCCATATTTTTAGTCATGTATTTTTCCATGACTGTGAGCTGAAGATGTTTTGATGTTCCTTAATATGTTGCTTTTACCCTAAACCTGTTGTTTTCTTTCATACAGTGTTGAGTCTGCAGGACCTGTGCTGCCGTTCTATCGTTTCCTGCACTCCAGTGCATCTCGTGGACAAACTTCCCCTTCCTGTTGCCTTAAAGAGTCATCTGAAGTCCTTTTCCATGGCTAACGGCCTGGTCAACACCAGGATGATGCACGGCCGTTCCTATTCGGTCATACCTAGCAGTGCTAAAAAACGGAACGGAACCAAAAAATCCAAAATCATCTATCCTCCACTGAGCCCATCCCAGCACTGCGCACGGACAAGCTGCAAGATTTCATAGATCGATGCAGTCGCTGTATTTACAGTACACATTCACAATGCAATTAAACAAGGAGCTAGTGTTCACAGCCACCAGAGTCTTACAATAAATAAGAACCAAGATACAGAACAGGGGCTCTTTGATATAGTAAGTGTTCTTGAGCTTGTTCACCATGTTGGTTTGTGCAAAACACATCCTCCTGGCCATATCCGATTGTGATCGCCGGACACAAGTACAAAAGAGGATCTGTTTCTAAGTGTTTCCAAGCCTTTATAATGCTCTGCATTGTTTAAATATACGTACAAGTTATTTTGTCTTGTATATGTATTGATGGTACTGCATTTTCCTGTGGAGGACTCTCTCTTTTTTTGCTACTGAACTTGGACCAAGCCAGCAGGAGAAACAGACGGCGTTCCTGATTTGTTATCAGTTTTAAAATGGACCTTACTGATAAATAATACCAGCTTAATTTCTTTAATACTTTTATTCAGAGAGAAAGGTCAAGGTTGAGACACACGGCTCTTTGTATTGTGTATATATAATTTTTGTTTGATACTACGTTGTTAGAATTCTTAATTATTGTGATACACTTGATCTGTGACCAATATTGTAATTAAACAATATGTTTGTATGGAAAACACACCAAAGATGTGGGAGATTCAAATGTGGCTTCAATTGTCACAATGAAAACAATGCTTATGTTTCAGATTTACACTGCAAGCAAACAGAAATTTCTAACATGCTACCATATCAGGTTTTAAATAAACATCAGTGATAAAATCAATGCATTGGTGTCTTTTGTTAAGCATATGTCCACTAGAGAGCAGTGTTTGTTTTCTTTTAGGGGGGTCTTAAAATATATGAATGCATTCTGCTCAATGGTTCTGCTACTAAATATGTGGTAGATAAGTTGGTAAAATAAAAGTAACAATATTATTATTATTATTATTATTATTATTATTATTATTAAATTACCTAATGGTCAGTGCATTAACTGTCGTCTAAATTGTCCTTTAGTGTGGGTCTACTTTATTGGCGGTTGAATTAAATTTAGGCGTTTAAAATAATATCCTTTCACAGATTGCGCGCGAAACTTCCCGCGCTTAATAACGCCGTCACTTGGTCAAAACGTGATAAATGTACATAAAATTTGCACGGATAAGGTTGGTACGACTTTTTATTACATTTGTATCATGTTTACATGCATGTTTTAGGTTTCTTGACTGTTTTAGAAACGCTTTTTATTGCAAACGCTTTTCTTTCGCTTTTATAAAATCAATTTTAAGTTTTATTAGGCCTGCATTTAGTAGGCCTACCTAAAATCCACCATTTCAGATAGGATCAGGATAATCCTGATTGGATTAAAGAAAATCTACCGAATTCTATTCAAATCCCAGCGTTTTGAAGCACACACTTTCGTGATATAATGGATTAAAATATATGAATCAGTCTGTTCAGATCTTTTGATCAAATTCGCCATTAACTTACCATATTATTTAAAATATTTAGCCAACATCAGATTAAAAACAAGAAAAATACAAATTTAGAGGCAAACATTTTGAGGAAAAAAGTCAGCTAAATAGGCCACTTTTGTATTCTATGATTTGGTAAAGCATTTAGACTATGAAACAACCTGCAGAGGGCATACTTCACACATCTATGTGCTACTGTACTTGCTTTGGATCCAATAGTCCAGTTCATTCTTGCACTTAGTATTGCCAATTATAATTTATTAATAACCATAAATACACATTCACTTAGTTTTTTATAATGCATTTATAAAATGGGGAAATATAGTAGTTGGATATACAGTCTTTCAGTGACACTTTCTGACCTGCTCATGTATTTGGTCATATAACATCATCCTAAGATGAAACGATAAGGACATGCCTTTCTTCAAGGCACAGGGTGAATGACCCTGTCACAGTAAGACAAATGGCTGACCCGTACAGCTAATAGAAGGTCGAGAACAGGCATGTGCACATGCATATGCTCCTATACAGTGACACATTGGATTAGTGGACCTGTCAGACAGGAGTTATGAGGGGCTTTTTTGATGCATGAACAACCAGAAGTTCCCTCTGGACTGGTCAGTTGGCCTTCTGTCATGTCCTTCGACCTCATATAATAAGCTAAAAGAGGGTCAGCTGCCAAAAAGGTTGAAAATGCATTAAATTGTACATGCTGGGACGTATGTTGTGATGTAAACATGTTGTAAAACCTAGTTTACATATGGGCACATAAGTTATGGTGGCTTTTTAGTCATCCAACAATCTTGTCTAAAATCAAGAACTGAAACTAAAGCTTGTTTTGCTTTGAGGTTGCACAAGTTAAGAGTACAAAAAAGTTCATTTCAGCAATTGTGTGTTTTTAAAGCTTTTAACACCATGCACATTTTATTTTTAAGACAGCTAGACATAAGGCTGGGAGATTTTTTTCAAGATTTCCTGGTTGAGCTTGTTTTAATGCTGTTTGATTAATTTACATATTTGTCAAATACTGTGTAAGTTTTGCATGTATTCATTCATTTATTCATTTTCTTTTCGGCTTAGTCCCTTTATTAATCAGGGGTCACCACAGCAGAATAAAGTTCTAACTTATCCATCATACATTTTACGCAGCGGATGCCCTTCCGGCTGCAACCCATCACTGGGAAACACCTATACACACTCATTCACACACATACACTATGGAAAATTTAGCTTTCACAATTCACATATAGCGCATGTCTTCGCACTTGTTTTGAAAACTGGAGCACCCGGAGGAAACCCACATGAACACAGAGAGAACATGCAAACTCCATACAGAAATGCCAACTGACCCAGCCGAAGCTCGAACCAGCGACCTTCTTGCTGTGAGGCGACAGCGCTACCTACTCGGTGTCATCAGTTTTGCCTCTAAAATGATGTTAATCATGCAGGGAACCTTCTAACAATTTATAAACAATATATTTAATATTTAAAGAGCCCATATTATACATGGAATAGGGTCATATCTTGGTTGTAAGGGTCTCCAACAACAGTTTAATATGCATGCAAGGTCAACAAACACTTTCGTGGTCTTATAATCTGCATTTATTTTTACCTAATTATCCCAGCGACTCCTGTATGAATCGTCCAGTGATTCATTTGTTCCCAAACCCCTCCTTTGCGCGAAGCTAATCTGCGCTGATTGGACCGATGACAGTCTGTTGCGATTGGTCGACTGCCTTCAGTCAGAAAGTGAAATGCCAAACAGCTAATCAGCAATATAAAAGTAATCACAGTTCATACATGCTCGATAGTGTAGGCGTGGATTTTAGCTGCCAGTGGGTCAATGTAAATACAGACTATGGACTTGAAAATTCAGACGACAATCTATTTTATTGAGCAAAAACTCCAAAAACAGTTGAGGAGATCTCCTAACTTCTCACTCTGCTCTTTTCACAGACACACACACACACACATATTGCACACACACACACACACACACAGACACACGCACTTAACCCTGCTCCGGACGACAACGCGCGCGCGCACACACACACAAAAACACAAACACACACACCTCCGGACGACAGCGCACGCACACACAGACACACACACTACTCCTCGTCCACGGAGCTCCGTTAACAAAGCAGCACGCGTCGCGTTTTTAACGTGACTTTGCACGCGATAAGAGAATATAGCCAGTTAACCTGATACAGTACACGCGGTTACAAGTAACAAATCACAACTAAATACATTTGCAAGCTAGAGTCAACGAGGCAACAACTTTAATCGCACGTACTTACACTTGAGAAATGGAGGAAGAAAAATCCATCCTGACGTCCATCAGTAAGTTACTCTTTACTGATCCTTCCTTTAACAAACGCAGATGAAGTATTCTTTGTAGCATGTAGTTTCCAGAAGTTTCCAGTAGTTTAAACTGCTTGGCTATAATGCTGAGGTTTCATGTTTGGGTAGAGACTCAATATATCCATCTGCAGTGTGACTTCAATCGACCGGCATGTTTGTGTGTTTGTGGGTGTCTGTGTGTTTGTGTGTGTGTGTCTGGGTTTCTGCGTCAGAGGGCGGGGCCTCAGGTTTGAAATCTCCCGGGTTTGCGCGTGCACGTGAATAACTTGGTTTTGTTCGTACGTCATGGCGAAACACCTAATGAATCGGTATCAAGGCGACTCGTTTGAAGCACTATGAGTCGACTCTTTTATAGATGAATCAACAGTTTTAAACACTGAACACTAACAGATTTAAGCCTTAGCTAGATACTTCACTTCACTTAGAGCTGTGTTACACACTACATGGAGGGGAATTTTCAAAAACCCATAATATGGGCTCTTTAAATAATGAAACTCATCTATACAATTTTATAGAACTTTTTTTTAATTAGTTAAAAAATATTAGTCCTACATTCTGACTTCATTCTTAAACAGTATAAGTAGGCATTTATTAAGCAAGAAACTTGTTTAGTAAAACATTTCACTGCTAATTATGCAAATTATACATAGATCATCTTGATTTAAAATGTCATGCAATAACAATAATTCATTTTATAATATGTGCATCTAAAAATCTGGTTGTTATTATTTCTATAATAATACATAATTAAAATCTAACTCATTTTAGTCAGTAAACTTAATCAATATAAAAATTCAAATTAAGAGCAAAAAATATATTTATTATGTTTTTAAACAATAATCTTGTGTAAACACACTGTAATATGAAATATATATTAATCATTGAGATATAATTTGTACACAATTTTCCAGTACTGGGTTGCTGGCTGAAAGGGCATTCGCTGTGTAACACATATGCCAGAGTAGCTGGCAATTCGTTGTGCTGTGATGACCCCTGATAATACCAACATAGGCTCATTCTGAAAATGTAGCCCTATTAAAGTTTCTGGAGATCGCGAATTATAAAGCCATAACTATGTATGGCTGCAATTTGTCTTCAAAAAGAAACGCTACTGGGCGGTATGACTCCGTTCATTATCTCGCCTATCAGCTGACAGCTTACCTCTAGGCATGGGACTATAACCTTTTTCAAGGTATACCGCGATTTGGAAAAGTCAAGGCTTTAAAACCATCAAATATTTTGCAATATCGTTCCTAAGGTATGTGTATGATTTGTCATTTTTTTAGGACAATAGTATCTCAGAAAAGATATCCAAAGATGCTGCTTTAAATTGTAAAGAAATCTGTTCCTTTGAAACTAATGAAGACAGCAAAAGTCAATAATTTGTTTAGCCTGACAAGTTTTAAATATTTTAAATGTTTCTGAAAATAAAATATACTGTCTTCAAAGGGAAAATTGTTTTTTTACCAAGACATTTAACTAGAATATATATTTTAGAGCAGTAATCACAATACTGTGAAACTGTGATGTTTTTATCCAAGATTATCATACTGTCAGAATCTTATACCAGCTCGTGTCTACTTACCTCCATGTCTTTTTTCGCTGTTACCAGTTTGTCCGGTAGCTCGACACGTCCGTTGGCAGACTTGAGATGCAAAGGGTAGATGACTCCAACAACAGGGTTTGAGTCCTGCGAAGAACGATTGCGGAAGCTATAGGTAAGACAAAAGCCAAAAAATAAGATAGTAAATAACAGGGTGAGCATGTGGTAAAATCTGAAAACATGGTAAAAATCAGCCTGCCATAAGGGGAGGGTGGGGGGATCGGTCAGAAGGTCGGTCATTAAGTCAGTTGACAGCCCTCTGGTGGATTTACGCTAGAACAGCGGTTGTGAATGAAACTTGTGAGAGAAGTTTGAAATCTCTAAAAGCATACACAGTGGCCTATG